GGAAAGAGAAAGAAAAAAGAGAAAAAAGGAGAGAAGAGAGAAGAAAAAGAGAAAGGTAAAGACAGAAAAAAGAAAAGAAAGAAAAGGAGAGAAGGAGAGAAAAAGGAGAGAGAAGGAGAGAAAAAGGAGAGAGAAAAAAAGGAAAAAGCAAGAGTGTGTGTCCCTCACCACCAGTGTCTCCCACTGCTTCCAGCTGAGGCTCAGACCCACTGGTCCAGGGCAGTGTGTCTGGTGGAGGGATGCAGTGACACCCCAACAGGAGCCACCAGGGCTGGAGCCACTCAGGTCTCTCCAGCAGTCCTGGAGCACGGAAAGCCTGGGCCCAGGGCTGGGAAGTAGGGCCCAGCCAGAGCTCGGGCAGACAGATGCCCCATTCCACCTGGGTGAGGGCAGCACCAGGGCACTGAGAGCCAGAGCCAGGTGCCTGGGGCAGGGTCCAGGCAGCACAAGGAGAAGCAGGTGCAGGGGGAGGTGCTGCGGGCAGACCGGCCTGGCAGGGCTCTTGAGAAGGCAGGAGCCAGAGGAAAAAGCAGGGATGGTTGGGATGCAGGGACTGCCCCGGGACTCCATGGGCTTGGGCCATGGCAGGCGACTGCACCCAGCAGCACCCAAGATGGAGCCCACTCAGCCTGGCCCACACAGCTCTGCAAGGATGGGGTGCAGCTACCCTACCCGTGAGGGGACACTGCCTGACTGGGGCAGGATGCCAGGCTCGGGAGGCTGCCAGCTTGGCCTCTGTGCATGCCGGGCACAGTGCAAGCAGGGCATAGAAACCCAGGCCACAACAGGAGCCCCCCTGGACTCTGGTAACAGCTGCTGCAGGCAGCACTCAGGGCCGAACCAGCCAGGAGCCAGTAGTGAAGTGACCCTGCACAGCACCTGCCCCAGCCCCAGCCCTGGCCCTTGTGGGGAGCTGCAGGTGGGCAAAACTGGGGCCCAGGCAGGCCAGGGCAGCTGCATCGGCTATCAAGGCCCTTGAACCGGAAGCAGCTCCACCCCACTCATGCTGTGCCCAATGCACACAGAGGCTGAGCCTGGAGCTGGAAGCCCCCACCCCCTGAGCCCAGCATCATGGCCCAGCCTAGCTGTGTCCCCTTGTGAGTAGGGCGGCTGTGACCCATCCCTGCAGAGCTGCGTGGGCTGGGCCGGGTCAGGCCAGGCCAGGCCCCACCTCCGGTGCCACTGTGCGCCCTTGCCCACCCAGCACAGGCTGAGCCCACGGAGCCCCAGGGCAGCCCCTGGTTTCTGTCCAGTCCTGCCTTCCTAAGGGCCTGGCCTGCCCACGGCACCTTCCCCCATACCTGCTTTGCCCCACCCAGACCCTGCCCTGAACACCCAGCCCCGACACTCAACACCCCAGTGCTGCCCCTGCCTAGGTAAAGACAGGGCATCCCCCGGGCCCAGGAGCCACCCACCTGCAGCTCCAGGGCTTGGCTGGGCTGGAGGACACAGTCCAGGGACACGGGATGATGTCAAAATACACACAGCATCCCTGCCTGCATTATCCTGACTCTGCCCTCAGTGCCTGCCATGGTGCTGTGACCTGTGGCTGCCCTGGAGAGCACAGAGCGTCAACTTAAAAAAAAAAGTTTTTTAAACAATTTCCTTGCACACCTCCTGGTGTGCCGGGGAAAATGTCTCCGCGTGGCACTAACTGGCACATGTGCTGGGGGTTGCTGATCCCTGCTCTATAAGACACTGGGGAAACCTAATCTTGAACACTTTGAACTGGGCTGGTCAAGAAAGATGAGTTCAAACTAGAACAGGAGCAGAGAATGATCAGAGGAATGGAGATTCTGTTTTACAAAATAAGACTGAAAGAATTGTTTATTCAGCCTAACAAAATAAAAGCTGAGAGGTGATATCGTTCCCTCTAAATATATCAGGTTGTAACTAGGGACAAAGAAGAGCTAGTTAACCTAAAAAGAATGGGTATGAACTAGGCATAAGTGAAGTCAGGCTGGAAAATGGAAAAGTTCCTGTCAGAAGAGTGAGGCTTTGGAACAGAATTTCTGGTAGAGAACTGTGGGCAAAACTGAATTAACTATTTTTAAGAGGGCACTTGATGACTGTATGAATGAAATTATGGGATGTCACAGGTTGACAGCAGGAGACTTGACTTGATGATCCAGAGGACCATTTCAGTCCTGTTTTAAAACTTAAACCAAGTCAGCTGTAATGTTACCAAAAAAATCCCAATCATGCAGAAATATAGCAAATCTGATGACTCTAAAAGAGCAGCTATTATGTTAATAATGGAAGAATCATTCATATGACCAGACCTCCAACCTAAAGTGAAAGTGTTCATGCAGGAAGTTCATCCATTTTACATTTTGGTTGTTCTAAAAGTAGTATGAGAAAAGGTTCAATTAGGTTAGGATGCTTTGAGGATTGATGAAAATGGGATGTGGAGTCCTGCAGTCCCTGCTACTTCACAAAGGCAAAATGGTTCAGGCTACAGTTCACCCTAACTTCTATCAGGAGTCAGCATCTTCAGCAGCAGCAATTGATCTATCCCCTCCTTCCTTGCCAAGCCACTTGG